CCAACTCGCCTCGATAGTGTCAATAGCCAATTGCTGCACCTTGGGCACAACGACTAAATCCTTCTCTGCAAAGAACCACGACACAGGCACGTCTTTGTAGCCCGCGTGCGTCAGGGGGTCCAGGAAACAGGCTCCAAAGTGGCGACCCATTTTGGCGACGTGGATGATGCCTTCGGAGAGGGGGAGGTCGCTGCAGGTGAGGGCCGCGACGGGGGCGGGGTCTTTGTGGTACATCCAGCCGTCCTTGAAGTTTTTGTTGGTTAGTTTGGGAGGGGTGAGTTAATAAGTGGAGGGGGAGGGATTTACTTCGCCAGCAGAAGGTACAACACCGCCCTGGTCTCCCAGCGTCTGAAAAGCGGTTTCACCGAGGCGCGGCGCGAGCGCGGTGAGATAGGCAATGCGGACCACGCCGCCTAGTTTACCCTGCTGCTCGCGTTCTTTTTTAGTTATGCCCTTGAGGGACTCGGTTGCTGGGATGCCTATAGTCACGTGTTGTTATCAGCCATGTGCAACATATCCTAAAGGTACAAGTCTGGGCTTGTGATGTTTGCGTACCGCCGTAACTGTGGGCCACGAAGACGACTTCTTTGCCTTCATCTACTAGTTTCTCCACGTGCTCCTTGATATACCGGGCATCGGCGTACATGTTCGGTGGCGCGCCATCGGATTTGCGCTCGTAGCCTGCGGGGTAGCAAGGCGGCTCGAGAACTTGGATGTCGTAGCCTTTGGAACGAAGGGGCGTGACAATTGGATCGTAGGCATTTGCAGAGCAGAAGGAGCCTGGAATCAGGACGACGGTTGGTCGGCTAGACATGTTTGTTGGACTGGTGATGGATATGGGTGGTCACTAGGTTAGAGCCTTGGAGGTTAGATTTTTGGTTGGAAAGTCAATGCCGGTCCGTTCTAGATTTGCTTTACATGTGGGTGTTGCAAGTTCTTATTCTAGATGCATCTTGACCGGTTGTACATATTTGTCATCATGGTTTCCCATGGTTGCAAAGGATCGCTGGTGCGGGCCGCGTTGGAGTATTCTGATTGGGTTCTGGTGTTGAGTCTGCTTACGGAAGGTGGTACGCCTAACGTTACCCACATCGTGTACCGCAATTGCTTCGTAATGTCACCGGCTATTCGCGTGGAAGTGAGCCCACGTAGTATCCGGACGAGTTCGCCGAGGATAATCGAGCTGCAGACATAAAGTTAGCATAAACAAGCTATCATCCGATTCGTACCAATTTGATGATGAGCATGGTCGTTCATGCTGCCACTATCTTGTGAATGATACCATTGGTCACAATTACCAAAGTAGGAAGATGCAGACATTTTACAAAAGCCATTGTATTAGATCATTAAACAAAAAAATGAACCATTATCATGTGTAACATCCTAGTAACCGTCATTCACAGCCCCGTTTCATTCTATCATCCAACTCGTGTTACGCCTCTTAGGCAGGAGGAGAGCTGACGCCGCTGTCTTGGACAGTAAGGGTGTATGAAGCAGCGCAAATGGTGCGGTACTCATCGTTTTCCCAGTGGTAGCCAGTGTTGGTGGCATATTGAGTGCCCCAGGTCTGAGTGTAGAGGGCGCAGTAAGTTCCGAGAGGAACATCGTTCTGAGTCAAGATGTAAGAAGTGAAGAAGTTGCATGGCCTGTAATGGCCGTCGGCATCGACGAGGTGCTCCTTATCGAAAGCGGTCTGGGCCTCGCAAGCAGCAGCGCAAAGGCTGGGGTCGTAGGGGTTCTCGTTGAACAGGCGCATGCCATTGTAGGTGTTGGAGCTGGTAGGAGCATCGATGGCAGCGGGAAGTTGGGTTGGTTCATTGAAGCGGGACACAACAGGGGCACTCTTGCAGACGGTATCATCTTGGCGCTTAGAGTATCCTGTTTTGATATTAGCTAAATACACCAAGAGAGGACAAGGTAAACTTACCGTTGCTGCCAGCAACGACAACGTGAAATTGCTCGCGGTACTGGCCATCGTTGATAGCCGTGTTTGTAGAGACAGGGTATCCAAAGAGAGCGCACTTGAGGTTGGTCTGGGGTTCAGGATCCGGGCAGGAGGAGGTCGGGGTGACTGTGGGATCACGCTCGTAGTAAATGTTGAAGCCAAGGCAGAACTTCTCGCTATCACAGAAGTCGGCGCATGCCTGGACATTGTAGTCGGGACCATCAATGTTCTTGTAGGTCAAGTAACCAATCTGTTGGGTGGCTTTGTTAAGGCCCTTGAAAGCCTCGACGTAGCCGCTGGGAGCAGTTACTGCCAGAGCCTTGCTCTTGAGCAAGCTTGTGGGGTCCTGGTCCTGGTAGGCTTCAACAGAGCCACCGGGGGGAACAGGTGCACCACTGCATCAATTGTTAGCTGGCTTGATTGGCGATAAGATTCTACATTATTGACCTACCTTCCTGGCTCCGGAGTACCGTTGCTGCAAGAGGTCGATCGCTTCCTGGTCTGCACACCATTGTTGCTGACATCTTGCTTGACCTCTTGGACGGCAGCGGGCTGGTTGTACTTGATTGGGGCGTTTGGCTTCTCATCAACCTTTGGCTTAAGGAGGTCGACACTGGGCAGAGGAAGAGCCTTAGCAGCCTCAAAGTTAGGCCTCTGGGGAAGGGCGGCAGCCAAACCGCTGATGGCGGAAACAGCGAGGAGAACGTTGCGCATCTTGAAGGATGAGTTTGGAGTAGAGGAAGTGAGTTGGGAGTGAAGGTTGTGAGGTGCGTTGGATGATGATCTTCAACCAGCGGGATGGGACGTGTTACTTATACAAGTTGGAAGAGCATCGTGATAGAGCCATGATTCAAAACTTGGACCAAGCGGCATGGGTGCTAGTAGCAAGCCGCTGGTGTTGCTAGCCATGCCCCAGAGCCTGGGCGACAGGCGGGCAGTTGGGCTCTGTGGCAGGGCTTGACGACTTTGCCAGATCGGGAAGTAATGGAGAGAGTATGGCGAGTGGGAAAGATGGGAAATGGGTCGTGGAGCGGTAGGCTGTTGACTTTGGTGGCGTACCTGCTCAGTGATGCCGAAAAGTACCAGGGCTGTGTGCCGATGGGGATGCGCAGGGAATGCCATTGCCAAAGTGGTACGAGTTGTCAAGCCACAGACGCGGCCGGCAGCTGGATACGTCGCCCTCACCGAAGGCATTGGGGAGGGCGGTCATGGGGGCGTCGAGAAAGCCTACCCAGAATAGTATCGGGAGAGAGACTGAGGCCAAAGCTTATCAGACGAACAATGAACAGGGCCATGTCGGCTGGAGGTCCTGTTGCCAAGGGCGGGAGATAGCTCGTCTCAACTCTCACAAGCGTAGCGATTTTCAGGCACCGCGCCTACGCCACCAGCCCCAAACGGGCGCGCTAGTCTGGAATCAGCTAGATGTACCTTGCTGTTTCAGGCCTAGCGCGTCGGCTAGCACGCTGGTTTCTGCAGCGTCCAATATCTCGTATCAGTTACCCTGACGTGACCAAAGGCCCGTCACCTCGCATACCCTTCCCATCGCTGGAGCGTCGTCAGACTCTACACTCCAAGTACACACACATGCACGCTCTGCTTCGCTCCAATGCCCAATACTTGCAAACTCGCATATGCAGCGGTGCGTGTCGAGCATGCCCAGGCGAGCGGTCAAGAACTGGCATCAACACGACAATATTGAGCCATTGTGCCTAGTACCGCGAGCTAACATACATCGATGTCCCCTGCAACACGCGGCGCCATTTCTGTCGACTATCCGACCGACTGGTCCGGCATCATGGACACCATCTGGCCCTGGCCTCGTTCTCCCACCGCTACGGACCTCTGTTCACGCCAACTGATTGATGAGCATCATGGGCACGACCCAGCCAAGAGGATAACCACGCGGTCGGATGGATTCTGCATCTAGCTTTCATATCAACAAGTTCGTCTGCTTGTCGTCATTGATTCCTCCTTGTGCATCCTGGTTTGACTTGGAAAACGCCTCGCCATACACCCATCACGGTACCCTTAGCGCGTTCCGCTCCACCCGTCCAGACACTGCATCAGCCACCGCTTAAGTCCGACCAGTCTTTTGTCTGCCACGATGGTGGTTTGTGTAGACGCGAGCTGAGATGCGGGGCTAGTCCCGTTCTCCAACGTGGCAGTCACGGTCACAACAAGCCATGAGGCTATGCTAGCAACCTTGTTCCTTGCATAACGCTAACCGATTCAGAGGTCTTAGAAGCGAGTGCCTTTAACTTTCCGAGTCAGCACCCACCACTGGGCATGTGGCTGGCTTCAACCGATCCAAGAGACTTTTGAATCATTACAGCGCAAAATAAGAGCACACTTAGCAATTGCTTGAATGAGGGCGTCCGGTCAATGCGCGACGTTTTCCGTCAGTCTGCGTACCATACCATGGTAATCACAAATGGCCTACACATACTCATTTACTAAAGTCTTGAACATGCATCTATCGGCGCAAAGCCTGGGCCTATGGAATACTAGGCGCTTCCCCCACCTCTGCTGTTTGGCTACATCAAGGCTGAAACCAAATGATCGTGTTCAGATCTAGTACATCACGAGCATGATCCACAATATTCCAGCCACTACATGCGGCTCGCCTGAGGTGGGCTCGACTACCACACTTCGCAATCCAGACGTCAAGCGCCGGTACCGGTCAATGTGGGCCAGAGGATTTCCAGCAACTTTGTCAATGCCACTTGTATCCCAAAGCTTGTGCAAGATACGATGCCAATGTGTCACTCCAAGCAGGTTTTACATATTTGTTCAATGGCATGGCGAGCGACAATGATAGAAACCGTTGGCTGGGCTTAGGTTACTCGCCTATCCACGCTCTCGGTGCCCCCAAGACCATGGTTTTCCAAAATCGTTTTCTCGATTGTTCGCTTGGGAATAGGGCGTAACTAGTGAGCTTGGTTTATTCCCCAGACCGTAGCAGCACAGAAACACACCGCTGCTTTGGGACGTAGTCTAGTCTTCACTCAGCTCGCCCACAGTACGCTACGCAGACTAATCGACCTCGCGTACAACTTCAGAGGCGCTCTGGGCACTCTATGGCCGTGCCGTTCCGTTGCAGCAATACCTGCATATTCGCCACAGCCTGCAAAGCGTAAGGTCGGGTCAAATGTAGGCGAGGCCGATGAGAACTGGAGAGCCGCGTCTGGCGAGTGTGAGGACCCGGCTCTAGATCTCTAAGACTGTACACTTTTGGCATAATGCCATCGTCAGATCAAGATGATCCACTCTCAAACCCCGCGACCCGCTCATGCATCAAGTGTATGGATGTGCTGGTCATTGATAAGGGTTCTGGACCTTACAAAGAGTCCAGCCACATTGTCAGGTGACGGTATGCTCCATCGGCAGGGCCTAGGTGTAAAAGACTCTCGACGAGGCTGAGCTGAACAGATGTGCTGGTCATGCCATGTTCAGTCTTCGTGTGCTCATTCTAGCCAGTCGATTCTTAGAACACCATGTTCATACGCTAAAGTAGAACACCCATGCTGCTTTCGAAATTTCCACACTTCCATTTTAGGATCTATGCTACTCAACAACACACCACTTGTGCCGCTCGTGTGGCTATAAAAGAAGAAACTCAACAACTCATCTCCACTGCCTGTATGCTAACTTGGCATGATGTTTTCATGTCCAGCCAATGAGACATCTCGCTATCCTACCTCCTATTTATACATGTTCGCTTGCGTCAGAGAGTCATATACGTTGATACATCTCGCAAAGCGCTATGCCGCCATCTGACGCCACCATTATCAGCCACACGCATGCATTTACTATTGCCCATCTGCAAGGGACGGCGACAATGACATCGTGTATGTACCTACATTCCTTCTTCACTCACTCATACTCTGGAAGACATGATTACTTCTCGTCAGCAATACAATTATCTACATTCGTCCTCGCACTCGCACTCGCTCAAACCCCTACATCTTTAACGCCGCCATGATGAATCCATGGGCGTTGTTTGTTTTGCCAACCTCCAGACTGAAACACCTCTCCTTGCATTATTTGAAACATGACCGAGCGAGCGAGTAAACATCAGACCTACGCGCCCAAATATGACTCAAGTACAATCATCTGGAACTTGCTAGAGAGTCAAAAAAAACATCCCAACATGAACATCAATGTTACAACTATACCAAACTATGTTTATTTTTATTTGTTTGATTGTTTAGTTGTTTTGGTTGCCCTGTTTCCCAAGAGCCGGAGCACCCGGCACTTGGTCTGCGCCGTCGTCCGGCCCGCTAACCTGCATTGATGATTGGCTTCTTGCACCCTGCAGCAAGGCAGGGCAAGTGAGCGCAAGGAATAGGCTGATACAAAAAAGAAAAAAACCCGTAAAATATCCCTAGTCCATTCGCTTACCCACGTGGGCTTCGGTACAGTAGGTTGGTAAAACCGAAGCGAGAGTTACACGACTGCCCCCCCCCTTCCGTTTGGGCGGGATTGCTGTTTCCACGCGCCCTTCTTTATTGCTTTTGTCGCCGAATTCCCCTTTTTGTTTGCTATTTGCGGAAGCGGGAGGGATGAATGCTTGTTTGGTTGTTTTTGTACCTGTTCGCGTTCGCGTTGGAAGGCGGTTTGCTATCAAGTTTTGGGTTTGGATTGTTCCGGTGGCTGCCTTTTTTCTTATTGTTGAGAGAGAGAAAAGGGGTTTATTTTTCGGTGTATGATTCATTTTGGCGAGTTTGGTGCATACAGACTTTATTTGTGTGTGTGTGTGTGTAGGGAGCGCATGAGTAGCTGGCTGGCAGGGTTGGCAGGGCTGAACTCAGCTGCGGGGGCTATTCTCCGTTGGTGATGTCCGAGCTCGTTCTTGCGAACACATTTTCAATATGGCGGTGTGCTAGGCGAGAGTTTCTTTTGGTGTGAAAATCTGGGATTATTCTGGCATCACATCTTACGTCTAGCACTGCTACTGCATTCTGAGACTGGCAGTGCTTTCTGGCAGTGCTTTCACAGTGTGACGGCGCATTGATAAGTGACAAACCCTCATACGTGTGAATATGACGCTTGGAAAATTCCTCAACGCAAAAACATACGAGTGGCCGTTACCTAGTCTTGGTCATTTCTGCATATCTGGCAATGAGTAGAATGTTCTCGGGAGACATGCGACGGTGATTGTAGCAACAATCATACGAACAATCGCAATCGCAATCATAACGGCTGTGGGAAAACGATGACAACAACAATTGTAGTTTCCATAGGCAAACATAGCAGTGATTTTTTGGTAACTCATACGGCAATTGAGATGGCAGCTACGCCGAGTATAAGAACAGCTCAGTTTTCGATTGTGAGTCGATCACATCATCTCCTCCTTCATTAAGTATATAAACTCCTTCGAAAACTTCCTCGACAGCATATGAGACTCCCAGAAGAAGCTTGAAGGACGCCAATGGACCCAATGAATCAGCCATAGAAGAAAGAACAAAGACAAAGACGGAAGGTACCCCAGATGCCGCGATAATCAATCTGCCTCCAATACCTGTGGTCCCCGCCGTTAGGGATGAGAACGTCCAAGTATTCAGACTGGACAAATAAGCGTCGAAAGCCACGAAGGCCCTCTTCCATGTTGACCAAGCTGATCGGAAAAGTCTCCTCAAGGCTGTCAAGTGGAACGAATTCAAGCGCGCAATGGCTCGAGTGGGTCTATCCTGTCCTAGGCCATGCTTGTGCAAGAACCCAAGACTTTCGAAGATCTCCTATGGCAAAGCTCCAATGTCTCCCTATACCTTTCTCCGCGTAAGAACCAGCGTATGCCGGTAAGAAGTCAGGCCACCTTGAGCACGGCGCTAAGAGACTTCGGACGTGATGGCAATGATGACATTATGCACGCAAATACTGCACCGATGCCAGAGGACCACAACAACAGCAATCCAAATGCCCCTCCACCGCAGTAACAAGCGGACGCCTCCAACAGCTCACGATGAACTATACGCATGTGTTTTTCCTCCATTACTTCGCCTTTTGTGCTCGCCCTAGCGACACTATCTATCTTGGCCCTCCCTGAGATCACAAAAAAGGCAGAATCTGTTTCGGGTACTCGGAACATTGGACAACAACGAGCCGCAAGGTTTACTGTCCTGGCGAGTATGGACTTTTTTGCTGTATATCTCTTGTCGGTTTCGTGCCATGTGTGCACATCAGCATACACTTTGCATGGGACAAGGACCTGTTCGAATGGCTCACTACAGCGTTAAGCGTCAACAGTACAAAAACTCGGCAACCGTTGCGTCAGCAAAATAAAATCGAGGGATCGAAGCTGATGGACATGTCATTTGACCACACGCACCGTATACAGCCGAAAACTGCTGCAACAGTGAGACACATCGTCGTCGACTCGCAAGCAGGGTCTGCACAAGATTCCATCCGGATACTGCATCGAATTATATACGATAGAGGAATACTTACAATAAACATATATTGTTTGGGCACACGCCAACTATATATGGAGGTGCGCAATTCGAATAATTAGTCACAAGCGTCGGTTCGACATTGACGCCAACATTGGAACGTACGCAAATGTCGACAACCACCATGAGGAGATGGTCATTCGACAGCCTCCAAGAAATCGAACTAGGGAAGTGTTCGCGTCAACGTACGTTCATTCCAACAAATTGGTTGGGAAAATATGGTCCAGTATGACGGATATACCACACACATGCGCATACAATGACATGACGAATTCCTCACTACTCGTCTTTTCATTCAAGTCACTCAAGTTATTCAAACCGAGGCAGCATCAAGCTCAAGCTGCACTTGAATTCTTCCATCCCACATGCTTTCAGCCAAAGCAATACAAGCACTTCACAATTTTCCCACATTAGAATTGTATATAGAAGACGTTTTCTCGAATAACCAATTCCGCTGTCGTCGATTCAAAGACCCTGCCCTTATATCTAACATACAAAATTTCTGGCAGCACACTCCCGAGGAATACTAGAGGAAGAATACTACAGGAACATAATGCCGTATGCCTGAAACTTCTCGTATAAAGGAAGTTTTCTTTTCCGGAAGCTATCGAAGCAAATCCAGGAGCCTCCAGGATCCATAAACATAAACTTCAAGTTCAATGCCGAGACGAAGTGGGAAGAGTATAACCAGTAGCCAGTTGTCTCTTTGCAATATCTCGGATTTCCACATAGCTCACCTCACTGCTTCTACTCGATCAATCATAAGGCGTCATCTATCCCTTTTCAGCTTTCTCCCACAGAAGAAGGCGAAAGTAGATAGCGAGTACAGCGATGCCGACGACGATATCCAGGAGGACGCTGACAAGGATGTCAAACACGACCGAGTGGACGTTGAGTGATGCAATAATATACTCTCAAACCCGCTATACTACCCAGATAGCAAGGAATGTTGCAGAAAAGTTCTCTATCAGGTATTGGCAAAAGGCAGCAAAAGTATGGTGTATGAACGTAGTAGATTTCAAGTTCACTGGTGACCAGTGGCTTGTGTTCATACCAAGCGTAGTCGGACACTCCAACGTATCGTATGTTCCCACACCAGGTCACTGGTAGTGCTGAGACGTCCGAAAGGGCTTCCAGACACAATATCTACCAACTTACTGATAAGACTTGGCATGGCCAGTGAGATTGCCAAAGATAGGCGTCAACATTCATCTCCGCCAGTGCACGAGGACGGGAAGCTTGATCGCAAAACCTGCATCAGCCCAAACGGTATATGAAAGTATATACATCCTCTACCACCCAACTCTGGTGTTGCCGCGCCAAAACTTCATGTCTCGTGCGCGATGCGAAACGTAGGATCCTCCCGAAGAAGACTACACAGCCCATATACCATATACCCGAGTGCACCTTGTTCAAACCAACGCGTCTCCACCAGCTATCAAGGTAATCAAAACGATTATATATCCAACTCCGACTACGACTACAGCAACCTTCTTTGTTCGATTGAGCGCATCAAGTTCGCGATGTTCCGGCATCCAAGCCTTGCCCCAATTAATGCCTTGTAGACAACAGGCCTGTTTCCTCACCAGGTCCTGATGGGACTGATTTGTACGGCTTGAACAGCTCACTGGTGATGAACAATACTCCATATAGCGAAGACGATTTTCAAAATAGCTAGCGACATCATCATCGATCCAAAAAAACACGCCCTTATATAACACTTCTTTATCGCGAATAACGGGATCCCGGACACCACTCACTTGTTCACGACACAGCGAAGAGCAATCCCAGTCACAAATGTGTGAGTCGTGCTGGAATACGCAAACATGGGTGTTTCCCCTACAAGTTTCTACTAGGACGAAAAGCCGGCTGTGAAGGACAGTACGAGATTCCTAATACGAAGCTCTTTCGGAACAGACACAGCAAGGGAACATGGAAATAAAGTTGATCCGCGCTTCGTTCAGGCAATTGCATGAGAATGCATCGCCAAACCGTTATATATACCACGACAAATCCAAGACCAAGAAACGATACACGAAGACCACTGTATGGTTTTTTTACAGAGAGCCACAGGAAAATACAACCCTGCCATTCCCACCCCCCCCCCCCCCTGCGGAGATTATCATGGCGCATGGAATCGCCAAACCGTTATATACCGCGAAAAAAAACCCCAAGACCAAAGCAAACCGACTATTCCGCTGCGCCAAACGAACCAGACAGTTCACTAGGAGAACAACTGTTTTATGGCTTTTATACGCACTCACAGCAAGTGAAAACACCTCAATTACGAGTGTGTGTGTGTGTGTGTGAGCTAGTCCCATAAAGCGCATATAATACAGATGGACCGCCAAACCGTTATAAACCGCAACAACAGTCAAACCAGAAGATGTACTCTGAGACCCCGGGCTACCATGGCTTCTCGTATATAGAAGACATGAAAAAAAAATGCGAACATACTTCGATCATCGGTGTGTGCGAGCTCGCCGCAGAAAACCGGACATGTGGATTGACAGCGACCTCAGAATATAGCGACAGAAGACAGCTGCGAAAGAAGCGTTACGTTTTCTGGGATACAAGATTATGCGGAGAGACTCCCATATCCTCTTTCACGGAGAGAGAGAGAGAGAGAGAGAGAAGCGTTGCCGACTTAGTTCCCTAGACGACGTTCCGTAGGGATACGGTCCCAGTTCCCGACCCCATACCCGTATATTGAGAGATGAGACGCTTTTTTGTTTGTTGAGGGTTTGAACGCTATTTTGGAGGATGTGGAGCATATCAAGAGGGAGATTGGGTGTCTGCACTTATTATGGGAGCGAGTAGAGACAAGGAATATACCGGGACCTAACCCTGGGTTGGGAGGAGGATGTGAATTGGTGGTTCTGGATATACAGGATGAGATGGTATGATTCTCTTTGGTGTGCCTGGGCGAACAAGAGAATTAAGTGTGACTTGTACTTTTTGATTCTATCTTCGGCTATGTTTATTATATGAGAATGAAGAGCGGGACGTAAATGAAGTTATTACATGACATCTCTATACATTAGCTATCGCTGTAGTAACAACCAAGCCACCATAAATTACGCTATTCTTTACCAAGTGATTGAGCAAACTCCTTTTCATGCTCCGGTAATCCATCTACATATTCGCCCAAGAGGGTCTTCAAGTCTTCCTCAAAAGGTTCGCCCTGGTCAGCTGCCATCTGCCTCCGCAACGCGTGTGCTTCGGACATGGCGTGAAAAGTATCAGTGATTTTCTTTTTATCTGTGCATAAATCATGTTAGTTGGCAGCTTCTCTCCTCTTTCTGACATGATTTGCCAGCGGAGTGTTGCCGCATTCTTCGTATCAAGCCATCTACTAGGGACATATCACTGACTGATGCTTGGTTCACCTGGTGCTGGTATCTCCTGGTCAGGGCTCATTGGCGGCACGCCTTTTTCCCAACGGCTGAAGACATTGATTGTGCCACAATCGCCTACAGCAACACACCACTGGCCGTCACGACTCCATGAAAAATGGCGAAAGGCGAAAGCTTTGTACTTTGGAGTCTCTACAATCTTGTGGGCTTTGATGGAGCGGAAGGGATCGGATATGCCTCGGTCACGAACAACCTCCTTTACTTTCTTTTGCTTCATCTTAGTGTTCCCGGAGCCGGCGCTAATGGCGGAGGACGCGGTCGAGGCCGAGCTGCCTTCTCGAACATGTCGGGGCAGACCCAGCGGCACTTCTTTTCCAGCATAGAGCTTATCGTCTCCTATACTTGATTCTCCCGTACCAGAGTTCTCGAGGCGTTGAAGGTCCCAGAAAAATGTCTTACTCTTTTCATTGCCCGCAACCAGGATCGGGTGGTGGCCGAGCTCGTGGAAAAGGGAAAATCGAATATAAAACTGATTGGTATACGGCAAATCAAATTGGAGGAGACGCTGGAAGCGACCACCCCATGCTGACCGTGTGTTTGATGTTAGATTGGCTGATATTGTGACTGGTGTGCGACTGTTGACCGCGCTTGAGGTCGGAATAGGTGCAGGAGGCGTAACGGTACGGTCTGAGCTGAAGTGGTCGATACTCCAGAGGATGATTTTGCCTTCTCGGCATGCATGACTAAAAATCAGATCATTGTACCATTGGATACTAGCAAAAGTCAGTACATGCAGCCCAGTAACCCGGAACGAGGACGCTTTATGTACCAGTCTATAAAATCAGTGTGGATCTCAGTGGTGGAAAAATGCGGGTAATGCACCATTACCGGCTTGTCGGTTCCGGTATGTTCTTTGAGATCATCCGGGACAGCCCACTGCATGTATTGTTAGAAGAGAGATTTGTAGCACCTCTTCTTGCAAAGTACCTACTAGATTGATCTTGGTATCCATACCCGCAGTGAGGATGTATTTTCCTTTGGGGTGATATGACTGCCAATGTCAGTTGATTTCATTGGCTATAGTAGCAAGGTACACACTAGGGTCAAGATTTGATCTTTGTGACCTTGGCCGTAGCATACGGCCCCAAGCGGTTGCTTCTCATGCGAAGGGTGCAGGCTCCACAACCGGAGGCTGTGGTCAATGCTGACTGATGCGATGATGGTGGGATCGACCGGGGATATGGCAAGGTCGTTGACGGACTGCTTGGCGTCAGATGTGTATGTGACTTACAGCGGATATGCTTACATCGCCATGGCCTATCAGCGTCTGTGGCATACGTCAGCGGGTGGTGTAGGATGGGTGCCGCAGAACGTGCCGCCGAGAGATCACCAGTTCGGACATTGAGAACCTTGATACGGGAGTCGCAAGCTACGCAGACGAGTGGGTCTCCATTGGTAGCCTGAGACCATACGACGCTGTTGTACCTGATTTGCTGAAAAAAAGGAAGGGCTGCATTAGTAGGAGCAGGCCATGGGGGCGGCGACCAACCTTGGGATTCGCTGAACCATTTTCTGCAGTGTTTTCCTCGTCTTCAAACCAGCGCAAGATCTCAATGGACCCATTCTTGTCGAGAACGCATCGACAGACGATAGTCTAGATTAATAAGCGCTGGGCATGCAGGACCAGGCACAATGTGAGACGTACAAACGGGCCACCACAGACCGCGAAAACGGGATCCAGGCCGGGTGCAGTGTAAGGATAGAAGTCGACGTCGTAGAATTGGGCTAGTACAAAAGTGGTCAGCGATGCATGTAGCGAGGCCTGATTTGACCTCACTGGAGCTAAGCTTAGACTTTGTTTGGCCCTGGGGGAGAGTTAGTAGTGGCTACTGCCCAGCTAAGTTGGGTGGGTTACGCCTAGTCGGATGGTGCCCCTCAGAGTAGGCAATTCCCAGCTGGCTTCCATCTTGGCATGCGTCTGGCAGTGATGGTAAAAAAAAATGCTCAGGGCGAGGGGGTGATGTGCAGAGCAGGGCTCCTCCGGTGGGCGGGTCGCAGGGGGTCTCGCCCTGCACCGGCTTGATAAGAACCGGTCGTTGAAGGCAGAAGTGAGGCGGAGGGAGTGGGAGCCGGGGATGTAGGAAGTTTTTTTTTCCTCTGGGGGGTCTTGCCAAAGCGGGCGGGTGTGTAGCAAACGGAGAAGAGGTGAAGGAAAATGGTTTAGGCGCTTACAAGCGCAGCTGCCAATGAGGGGGCGTAGAGGTGAGCAGGGGTGGCTTGCATGTGGCTTGTGGCGTAGGCAGGACGATCGCCGATGACGAAAGACAGGTGAGTGGTCTCGACAACAGAGGTAACCAGCTGGTGGTATCACTGACTGGGCACAAAGGTGGCTCTGATGGAGAGGCCGTGTCTGTACTCCCGTACGTGCGTACGAGTGGATGTAGGCGTGACTGCGTAGTGCTGCAGCAGAGACCGGAGAGATGACGGCGAGGCGCTGGGGGCGGAGGTAGCTAGCGGACGGGCTGCAGCGCCCATGTGGTGATGGGCAGGGCTCCTTGGCTACGTACATACTTGTTACTACTAGTACTACACCTCCAGTAGCCACCTCACTGCACTGCACTGCACTGCACTGCACTGCACTGCGCTCTCCTCTGCTGCCGCCAACAGGCCCAAGGCCCTTTGAGGAAAACCCATCCCCTACCTAGCACATGTCCCCGCTGTCACAGATGCCCCTTGCCCATGCCCTGAACTCTCTCAAACACCGGCCTCGTCTTGACAGGTGACATTCTTGCTCTGTGCTGCTGCTGCTGCTTGACCCCCCCGCTGCTCACAGTGGTACGCTAACCGATGCCTCATGGCCCCAAAGTCTCGCCTCGCTCCCGGAGCGCCACCTCCACCTGCCGAGCCCGTCTTGATCAGCCCTCACAGTCCTTGGTTCCTTTTGCCCTTCCTTTTTTTTTCTGGCCCTGCGCCTGCCACTGACCTACATACTTGCCCACACTACGTACTACATACTCACTAGTATATCCGACGGCAATCTTCAAATTTCACCTCGTATCGCCTTGTCCCCACTACCCACTGCTCCCACATACTTACTACGATCTTTTCTCCTCATCACGCCCTCGCCCTGCTCGCCTCCCTGTCCTGGCCCCGGCACAGCTGCAGCCGTTCGCTCTGTTCGCTCGCATTGTTTAGGCGTCGTTCCCACCATCCGGAACTCCTCCCTGTGACCCCAACCCCACAAGCGAGCTAGGCCCAACGTCAACCAACCGCCTTTTTCCGGCCTCACAGGGGTGCGGTGCGCGTCACTTTCGGCCCTCTCGTAGCTTTCTGCTCACTTCCACACGCTGCATTCTGCATATGCTCCTGAGCTCTAGCTTGTTGCGGCGCGCCCTATCCCTGGACTGCCTCATATATCCTTACTGCGCTGCTCCATTCCTGCGCCGACGAGGGTGAGGGGCGGTGGAGACGTCTGTGATCGCGCATTACATCATTGCAACTGACTCGTATCATACTCGGCCTCTTGTCCCATTCACTCCCACAGCGCGCTCGTCTCGTGTCGCACCCGTTTCACTGCGTTGCGTTCCCTCGTCGCTATTCGCATCCGTGCGCAACGGTCCGGCCAACGTGCTCTCGTCCCACCTTGGACCCTGACACTATTTGACCAGCCCGCGCTCCCTCGTCGCCTGGTCGTCCGACAACGTCCCCTCTCTTAGAGCGAATTATTAGATTCGGTCTCTTTGGGGCAATAGTGGTCCAAACCACGGTCCAAACCACACCCGCTATTCCACTCCTTTGTTGCCCGCCGCAATGGACACCACCTTCATCACCATCCATGGTATGTCCCTTCCATCTCGTCTCTCCGGAACCCACACTCAGCCTCGACAGACCTCTCCGACGATGCCCACATCCTGTACTCGTCTGATTCCATTGTCGACATCCTCGGCCACACTCCCGACGAGGTCGTCAACAGGTCCGTGTGGCAGTTTTTTCATCCAGACGAACTTCCCCTCGCCAAAGCACAGCACAGTCGCGGTGTGAGGCTCGACAAGGCTGCCGTCTTGTCTTACTGCCGCCTGAAGAATCGCCAGGGCGAGTGGGTCGGCTGTGAATGCTGCTTCTCGGTCGTCTACGATGTGCTCGTATGCTGCACCAGCGTCTACCGGCACGGCATGCAGAGTCAGAGTAAGCTTCTAACTCCATTTGTCGCTCCATGCATGCTGACCCGCACCAATCAGAGCGTGCAGTTGAGGCGCCCATAGTCCGCAAGTTATTCGCTTCCTCCCCAAAAGACCCTCGCTATCATATGCTGTCTCACTTATCAACCAAGTTTGACCTTGGCCACGAGGATCAGACCCATGAGCCCCGCGCTGCCCTGTTTCTCAACAGATTCACCCGCACCTTGACTGTCATGTACGCGACAAGCGGCATAGAGCAGATCATTGGCATTTCGAGCGAAGCCATGAAGGGACGCAGCTTCTACTACTGCATAGCCCCAAACTGTCTCGAGGATGCCGTCCGCTGTCTCGAGTCGGCCAAAGGTAACGACTCGATTGCGTACATGCGCTTCTTCTTCAGAGACCCCCGTCAGGACGACCCACCCGAAGCTAGCTCATCCGAAAGTGAGGACGATATGATGACCGATGTGACTAGCTCGGACGAAGAGTCTGAGGGTGGTGTGGGGCTTGGCACATCAGGTGATGCTAGTTCTAGACAGCCGTCCGTTGCAAACAACAGCACCAACGAGAGCGCAGAGGCGTCAGCCTCACGCTCAAACTCAAGGGAAGATCCCAGCTATCGCTCAGCTGGCTCAGCCACTCACCAGGCAATGTTTGGCGGTTCTGCGCCACGCTCCTCCATCTCATCTGCGAGCTCGCCTCGTTCTGAGCCCCGTGATGAACCCATCGAACTCGAGGCTGTTATATCGTGCACCTCGGACGGACTTGTCGTGTGCCTGCGTCGTGCGCGCCCAATGTTGCCAGGCTCTATGCCTGTTGCACAGCCAGCCCACCAGTACAATGGCATCTTTGCGGCTCCCTGGGCAACACAACCCGTGTTCCATCCTGCACCGCCGCAGATGCCTCAGTACCCTCTAGGTGCGCGACACCCAGCCATGGCACATGCGGGACCCGCGATGGACTTTCAAAATAGCTTCATGAAGAGCATCCGTGACGTTGCCGTCTTTGCTTGGGCACTCACTGGAATCAACGGCAGCCTCGTCGACTATGCTCGTGGTAAACCAGTAGGCGAGAGTCAGCCTCCAGATGGCTTTCCTATCTGGAATCCGTTGCCAGAACCAAACGGCTTCGGCGGGAAGCAATTGTCTGTGCCCCCGTCAGGTTATGGGTCTGGGTCCAACAGCTCCGCCAGCAATGACCCATTTGGGTTTGGGGACCCTGGCCGCTGAGATCTTTGATCGCTGCACATGCACTTGAGTCGATCCAAGCGCATGTCACAGTAATACGGGGTGCTTTGTCATCGTAGACGTTACCGGCTTCAGTCTTTTTATCCGACTGAACAGAGCAGCCAGACTATCATGTCAACAGGAGTCACGGTCATGGCGTCTTGCTGGTACGTTATGAATCTACCCAAGCAATTGCACGGAATATACCAGGTCGCATAGCACTATGTTACTAGATATGGTATGCTTTGTCGGACCACTCCTCTCATTTTCTTATTTTGTTGTATAGTATATCAATAATCAAAAAGCAACCTAAGATTCCAAACCTTGTACCACTTACTCGCATGCACACACGTTGTCGTGTCGTGCAGAATCATTACATGGACGTTGAATGCATCCTATCCATGTGAGGATCCTGGCAATTTACATGGAAGATGTCGCGTTCGAACATTTGTGCCCATTGGCTGGCCTTGCCCTTGCATCCCTGTCAGTCCTGGTTCTGAAATGCGGTGGGGTTGAGGCTGAAATCTAACCCCCGTCCCTCTTCAAACATGTCCGGGTATTCAAGTTATGATGCTTGCAGATGTTCCTCTAGCGGCGCGCAATACCGAGGTTCTTTGTATCACCGTCTTTGTTAGTGCCGTGGCGCGCCGCTTGAGGCCACCGAGTCTCTCCAATTCGGGTCATTCTCTTTGTTGCAGCCGTGCCGAAAACTGGATAGCGCAAATACATGGTACATGGGGGCTCATCTCGAACACCCTAGCCGTGGCTACCCATGTGCATTCTTTGACATGTTGAGATGTGTGCTTCGTATATGCGTCCTTGTTTACTTTACCACTGCCATGGTAAGGTAGCGGACCATAGCACTGACTATGCCCCTTCATCTTGGTTTTTTTTTCTTTCTCAGAATCAAAGTCTTCCTTTGATCTCACTACAGTATTGAAGACAGACGTGCAGGCCACTCATTTCAAAAGGTTTTACAATTTACAATAATACTTGTGAAAATGCGTGGGTCACGGTGCTGGGTGGCTGCATTTCTTCAATTTCTGCTTGTTTCTATTCAACTTCCTACAACATGCTTGGCACACGACAGTGTTCAGCCCGACGTTCAAGTCGTGACGGCATCAGCGATAACACCAGGCCAACCGAGCTCGACGACCACAGCACCAGCACAGACACATACAATTCAAGTTGGTCTAGCAGATCACAAGTTCAGACCCGAGGCAACAGTGGCCAATGTTGGTGATGTAAGCTGGCCTGCTACTCTTGATACCGACCTCTATCCTAACTGTTTTACGTAGACTGTAGAATTTGCCTTTTACCCGCTCAACCACAGCGTTGTTCGCGCCGAATACGGTTTTCCATGCATACCCTACGAGATGACAGGAGCATCTAAAATAGGTTTCTTTTCCAACTTCCATCCCGTCGACACGGTCTTGTCCTCACCACCCACATACCGTATCATCATTAATGATACCGATCCCATCTTCTTCTACTGCTCTGCCCCTGGTAGTTGCATAAACTATGGCATGGTGGGAGCCATTAATCCGAATGCATCAGCGAGTGTACAAGAGCAGCAACAAATGGCAATGGACAGCAAATACATGCTCAACCCAGGCGAGCCCTTTCCAGCTGAAGAAACATCCTGGCCTAGCAACCCATCGAGCAGCACTCCAAATCCAACATCCAGTCCTGTTACAGAAAATACAACCAACACTAAAAGCCGTCTCTCCACCCGCGCCATAATCGCCATGTCCGTCACCAGCGCCAGCATCACCATCCTCGCCGCCCTCCTCTTCTTCTTCTGGGGCCGCACCAAATCCCTAAAAGACGAGATAAAACGCAAAGCCGGTCGTCTATCACCCCGTCCAGGCACATCTCCAAGCGGCGAAACACGCATGTTGGAATCTCGAGCCGAACTCGGGACTAGCAGTTCAGCACCCGACAGTAGTAACAACAACGCCCTACATCACCACCAACAATACTACATGCACCAACCCCATCATCCTCACCACCACCTCCCCTCTGCATCCCCAGAAACCACAACCCCATACCACCAACAATACCCCTCTTACCCCGCTTCCTTATCCCAAATCCCCCTATACTTCCCTCCTCCACGCGCTCCAACCTCCTCACCAAGTCCAATCCCAACACCACCACCACCACCTCCACCTCCACCTCACCCACACATCCACCCCCCATATTCTTTACCTGGGAAATACGACACACAAACCCCGCCACCCCACCATCCCGCTTATACCCCTGTTGAATACTACACTCCTCCTCCTCCTACTCAGCAGCAGCAGCAGGTACAAATAAGACACGAATTAGGTCCCACAGGCGATGCTGCTGATGCTATCACGCCGGTTGAACGAGAGGTGGGACAGAAGAGTGAGCTTGGGGGGGAGACTCGGAGGGTTGCTGGTGTTGAGGGAGAAGGAAGAGAGAAGGTGCCGGGGTATTTTGATGCGGTATTTGAGAGGAGGGGAGGGAGGTGATGGGTAACACGGGGGGAGGTTCTTTTCATATAGGATGATATTTTGGGGGGTTTTGTTGTTACGTAGATTTGGGGGGTGTGTGTGGAATATGTGAATGTAATACCCAATTTTTTATCTTCTTCTTCGATTCTTCGATTCTTCGATTTTGTAATTTTTATTTGGCGTTTTTTTTTATGGGTAGAAGGTGTGGCTTAGAAGAGGGGTGGGGGGGGCTTTCTTTAGATGATAAATGACGGATGAAGTGTTAAGAGGGGGAAAAAACATACATTACTAGTTACTAGATATTTCCACTCAAATGTCCGCACGTGTTTTGATTTGTTTTTTACTCCTTGTTGGGAGTGGCTTGATGTATTGTATTGTGTTGTATGTATCTTGCGAGAAATGGATCCAAGCATGCTCATTTCCCCACCAAGTTCCATCAAGACAGTCGGGAAAATACTCAAGGGCAACAAAACAGGACCGTCAGTCCTGGTCAACAATGCTATTTCGCTTTGATCTAGCAATCATCTGCTTACAACACCGTCCCAACCAGCCTCATTTGCACATTGCAACAATGGAAAATAAATACTCGAGCTCGCTCTCGCTTCGCGGCGAAGAAAAATGTATCCTGCCTTTTGTTCTTTTTTGTAGTATATAAGTCCCCTTTCCTGTTCCTTTCCACATATCATATTTGAATCAAAACCTCACTCACTACCCTCCGTCACCCTTCAATGACATCAAATCAATGAGTTCAACAGCAACAACACCAAAAAAAAGAATAAGACCCCGAGACCGAACACTTCAAGTCGTCTGGATAAAGAAAAGAGTAGATAAGAGAAAGAAAAAAAAAGGGTGGGAAGAAAAATCATTCGACTTATAATCATTACATATTTTTACACTCCGAAAAAAAAAGGAGAAGGAGAAACCACGCGAGTCGCCCGGCGGCCCGTAAAAACTGGTTGCAAAACAAGAGCGGGGGTATCGTGAATCATGTCGCTCATATCGAAGTAGAAGTAGCCGCAATAGTAGGTGCAACGGATACCTCGGTAGGCTTCGGCTCCTCTGCTACGGGTGCCAGGACAGGTTCCACGGCCTTGGGCGGTGGAGAGTTTGTGTTTGGAAGACTGGCTGTCGATAGCGTTGGAGAGCTTGTGGATTGCGATGTAGTCAGTGGCGGCGTGGCATTTGAACCGGTCGACTGTGTCTGAGCCAACTTGGTCTTGCGGTTGCGATTGGTGTAGTCACTTAGACTGAGCTTTTTGCGTGCTGGTGTTGCCTTGACGGCACTGTTAACAGCAGGAGAGAAGGGCGACGCAATCGTTGATGCGGCTGGAGAGGGTGCAGCGGCACTATCGGTCACGGGCGCAGAGCTCGATACAGAAGTGGTGGGGGTATTGTTAACTGCGCTGGTCGAATCCTGCTTTACAGGAGTTTCGACTTCCATATCAGCAGATTGAGGCGGGAATTCTGCTGTAGACTTTGGTGATGGTTCGGTTGGTATTGAGGCAGACCACGGCGGGGCAGATGGTTGGTTAGGTGGACAAGAGGTTTCGCGCGGAGTCTGTGGTCTAGGTGCGTCAGGCAACTCCTCGGTCTTTGGTTCTGGAGACTTGGGAGCAGCGACTTCAGCATCCGTCATCTCAACATCTACAGTAGGCTCAGGCGAGGGCTCCTTGGCGGGAGTGAGTTCCTTGTGCTGCCTCGTGTCAGGTACAGGCTCGGTTGATGTATCCATTACAGAAGGCTCCTCGAGCGGTGGTGACGGTGGCAGTGGAGAGGGCTTGTTTGAAGAAACGTCTTTCAGAGCCGGGGATCGGACTTCCATCTTCACAGATGCCGACCGCATTCGTTCGCGTTGCAGCTTATCCTCTTGGGCTTGCTGTAAAAGTTTGCGCTTGAATGACATTGGAGGCTTCAACTGGCGCGGCTTGGTGCAAGCTGGTAGCTTTGCATCATCATCCTGTGCCGTTTGCGTCGATGCATCCACATAGACGGGCTTCGGTCTGGCCAGTGCACGCCCGTTTGTCTTTATAGAACTTCCTGAAGTCTTGCGGGCCACACCGTGGCTGTGTTCCCGATGACGAGCTGACGGTGAAGGCTCGGGGTTTCCGGAGCGTCTCTGTTGCTTAGAATTAGAAAGACCCAGTAGACAATGTGGGGGAGACTTCTTACAGAAGATGAGAGGTTCGGTGTGTTGAGGTTAGATCCAGCGCTAGTGCGTTTCCTCTTTCCCTTGTGCTCGTCGTGATCGAGCTTCTGGAACAAGAGCTCCTGATGCTGGATCTTCCTCTTCTCACGCTCCGATAGTTTGAGATCGCCGTCGAGGGAAACATGGGTCGCTGGTGTAATATCGCGACTGCTTGATTTGTGGGAGCCAGAAGTAGAGCGGGCGTCCATTTGGTCGTCGTCCACAATGTCGCGGTTGGCCAATTCGCTGCCTGCGCGGCTGTTGGTTGCATGGCCGGTGCTTGTAGGGGATGTTTGAGATTTCTTCATCTTCTTGCCTTTGGTCTTTGCTGACTCTGTGACGGGATTGTTGCGACGGGCTCGCTCCAAAAGGCACTCGTTGCCGTTGGAAATGTCACAAGCACAGCCGCCAAAGTTTGCGAGGACACACGACACCCAAGGCTGGATCTTCCGGAAGCCCTCCTTGGCGCCGTTGGTGACAACCTTGGCTAGTTGCTTTTGTACTTCGGAGTCAATGTCCCAGCCAACGGTGAGCTCTTCTCCAGGACTGATTTCGCGAGTTGCCAGGAAGCTAAAGTGGTAGTCGTTGCTCGAGTCAATCAAAATCTTCATGGACATGTTGGGGTTACAGCTCCTTCTGGCGTATCGGAGTATGTTGCCTTCGCGCCGCGTGTCAATGTAGATGGGTAGGTGGGGAGGGAAAAAGACAAATGGTTCGGGATGTCGCAGGAGATCCCATCGATTTGAGGGATCTGAATAGTAGTCGGTTTTGCGGCCGATGAGACCCTTGAGCTCGCCAACGTAACCTCCGTCAGGGACTGGTGTCTCGGCTGTAATAAAGTGCCACTGAGGGTGAAGGCCATGCGCTAGTATAGCCGAGTCGACGTCTGTCTGTTTCACGATTTCTGGCGCAGTTTTGGTTTCGAGATCCTGTATGGTGCTGTCAATGCGTGAAAAAATGTCTTGTGGCTTCTTGCCTCCGCTTGCCTCTGCAAGCGCTTCTGGGTCTTGAAGCCACATGGCAATGTCGTTGGCAACATCGATGCGCGTATACGAGTTGGACTCTGCAGAAGGCGGCTCGGGCTGGCGGTAGAGATGCATAAACTCGTACGAGTAATCCTCTACGGGACCGTCGGGATTCGACGGTGACTTTACGGGACTGTGGCCGTTGACCAGAATAGACGCGCCTCGCTTGCGTGATGTGGGCGCAAGAGCTGGTGCTTGGCTGACGACGCTCATAGAAGCAGAAGAGCGATGGTTGGTCTTGGGCCGCTTGTTTGGAGGAGGCTGATCTCGTGGGCTTCCGCTCTTGCGGTCAGGGGGGTAGTATAGGTCGCCGTTGGTTTGCGTGGGCCAGGCATTGGCCTGCATTGGCACGAGCGAGTCCTTTGGGCGCTTCTTGGGGTTCTTTGCAGACGCCTTTGGCCGGCCTTTGCGCTCGCCAATGTTGTGCATCTCTCGTCGGATGCGTTGCTTCTCCGAGGCGCTCTTTGCGTCGACCAGGCGCGGCAGGCAGTCTGCGCATTCGTGCACGTCGGGCACATGCTGTGCAGACTCGTAGTAGCACACAATGTGCTGCCACGTGTCGCACTTCTCGCACAGCACCGTGTTGCCATCGTCGTCGGCGTAGCCGCAGATGCACTTGATTGTGGACGATTCTTCCTCTTCAACGACGCCGTCTAGGGGTGGAGAAGCTTGGGCAAAGACGGGTGGTGGAGGACCAGCGTAAAGGGCGAGGGGAGCCGGCTGAGGATCAGCATACGCCTGAACCGCCGAGACGTCTGTCATAATCTGGCAGGCAGGCACGGTACTGAGGAGTGGTGTTTGTGTAGTGGGTTGCTCAAGATGTGTGTTGTGGGGATCGCATGACGCCCAGGACGCGGACAGGGAGAGCAGAGCTACCAACGGCAGCTCGAGACGGAACGAGTGAGCAGCACCAAGGACAAAGCTGGGAGTAGAAGGATTTCCAGGTGCTTATGGAGCAGATGCAGCCAAGGGAAAGAGGGCTGCGTGTCCAGTTGCAGCGCGAGCTGGCAAGCTAGAAGGCGACAACACGGGCTCGGAGACGTCAGTGGCAAGGCGATATCTCGCGGATATCATGAAGAGAGGGTATTGAGACGTTTTGCGAGACGTGATGGGGTGCGCCGGTGGCCAGGCAGGGTGGTGAGGATGCGAGGCTCGAGGCGGCGTCGGAGGGAGCAGTCGGCTGGGAGGGGGGGAGAGAGGAGACAGCGGCACCAGAGGAGAGGGCGCGCGCACTCGTGGCCGTCGAGGCGGATGGCGACAGCGGCTGCGACGTTAGCAGAGCAGATGGAGGGCAGGCTGGCTGGGGCAACGGGGGCGTAGTGCGGTATGGGAGTCAGAATGGCAGTGGAGAATCGAGCGTGCGAATGTCGTGAGAGAATGAATGGCCCCGACGCTGGCGAGCGAGACGGGCTTAGCGCAGGTGGTCTGTGCGCGGTGCCCAAGGACAAGGCCAGGAGGGAGCTGGGAGGGCTAGAGGGCATTAGTCACCGAGGGGTTGCAGGAAGCGCGGTCTCAAGATATCAGCATGTGGCTGGCGTGGCCGTGGCGGCCGCCGCCGTCCCCGAGCCACAACGCGGGCAGAGTGGAGGCGAGGGCCGTGGGGGGCTCTGGGGCGACATGTTGCATCGAGGACAGGATATGCACGCATCAAAAGAGAGAGAGGGTGGATGATACGGCTGATATGGGACGAGCAGGAAATGCGGTAGGCCTGGGGGGGGGTCGACGTTTGGGCGTGGATGTGACGAGAAGAAACGGCAGCAGCGGATTCCGTGGAGCAGGCAGCACAGGGTCCAGCAGCCAATCAGCGG